CTGTCGTGCCGGATTGAGGGAGCAGCCTCAGGGGACGGCAGGGCCAGGCTGGACCGCCGCCGTCCGGAGGATGAGGGCGCACCGGAGAGCCGCGCGAGGCCTTAGGCGGACGATGGGAGCGTCAAGAGCCGATGGGAAACGGGGCGGGAAGCGGGCGTCCCTGGAAAGGGCCTTGCTTCTCTAGAAATCCTTGAGTCCCTGGTCTGACCCGGACGCCGAGAGGGTCCTGGTACCCCTCTCGTGCCGGCCCCGCCCTCCGGGTCCCCGAAGCCCAGCTGGACGTTTCCTGGCGCAACTGGAGCGGCCGCCGGGCCCCAGCACCACGGACAGCGCCCGCGCCCTGGCGCCGCTTCCCTCCGGGTTCTGCTCCTTGGTTTTTAAAGTACTTATCTGAAAGCGGCCGCATAGGCGCTCCCCAAAAAGTTGTGTAACCCTCAACCTAGAGAGACAGTCTTTCTAGGCTGTCTGGGGACCCACAGCCCCCGGTGGAGTCTTCATGTCCCCTTGGATTGAGGGGGCAGGCCTCCAATCACAGACCCCAGCTTGTGACTCCCCAAGGACAGTCTGGGGGCCTGTTTGCTCTGGTTTTCCCAGAGCTTCTGGCAGGATCTTTATTCTGCAGGTACTTCTGGGATGTTGCTTGAGTGGTTATGTGGATGGATGAAAACATTGTAACTTGAATCCATGCCAAATGGCCCCCAGATGCTTTGGGTGACTCTGGACTCCAGGATTGGGGTCTGGCAGAGGATGTGGATGAGGCCTGTTGGAGGCTTCAGGTTCTGTGCTGAAGGTGTAGACACCTTCCTCGTGGCAGATCTGTGGGCCCTGATGGCCAACCCAGGTCCTTGGCTCTAGATACAACTCCCTGACTGAGGAGAAGGGTGGAGGGAATGAGGGATTAGAATCTTGATCTGGGAGAAGTTCATCCTTGTCCTCAGGCTGGAAGGACAAATAGCTGATTTCCCCTGGGCTCTCCCTGGTTGTGTGACTGCACCTCTCCTGCACCACCATCGCCCTGGCTGTTGTCCTGTGACTAGCCTGGCTCTCTCTGGGTAATCCCAAGATCTGAGTTCCCGATGGATCAGCACAGGCTTGGTAGAATTCAGTGAGGGGTCCCTTTGAGGTGAGAGAGAGGTGTCGCTTGTGCCATCTCACCTGCTGAATCACTTCTCCTGTCCTCCCTGTCCAGGGTGTGGTCTCGGGATGTACCCAAGGTCCTCTCTGCTTTTGGGGTCTGCCCCTCTCTGACATGATCTCTAACAGCTTCCTTTAAATATGGGCTGGGAATTTTGCTGTGCTTTTTATTTTCTTCTGCAATTATGTGTTTTCTTTAATGGACCAAATTTTAATTAAATATTGCTCTGCCGGTTTCAAATAATGAAGATTAAGATGCATAAAACAAGTCTTGCATAAAAATACAAACAAGCATGGGACTCAGGGGCCAGGAGTGGAGGGTGGGAGGGCTGGAGGTCTCTGGTAGGACTCAGAAGGCTCTCCCCGGTGAGCTTGGTCCCTTGCCAGATGGGGTTCCTCACCCTGGCCTGGAGAGGAGGGCTCCCCTTTCAGCTCTGCCAATTAATCAAGTCCTCTGATGGATTCAAGGTGCCAGAAGGGCTACCACCTCCGGCTGTCCCCAAGGCTGTACTGGTGAGCTGAGTTCTCCCATTCGGGGCCAAGATCAATGACTGAAACAGCAGGACCCTGGGGCGGGGCTTGAGGAAGGGCTCTGTGCCTTGGTCCCTGCTGTCCCCCTGGGGCTACTGCAGTGCCTGTCACCTGGTGGATCAGCAATAACCATATGTTGAAGGCACGAACGAGAGTCCTGTTTTGGCCAGCCCTCCTACCCAGTGGCACCATGCACACCTGTATGACACACCCTATGCAAAGGTGCCAGTACACCCTGGCCAGTCAGTGGTGTAGGCTGGCAACCGGTGTGTGCCTGCCTGGGGAGGATATGTGTCTGGGAGAGTCTGGGTATGGAAGGGGGTCATGTGTCCCTGACCTTAAGATCTGGTGGGGGGGGCACACACCGCCCCCCATGAACACAGACAGGGAGGCGTTCAAGCAAGTTCATGACCGATTGCTGCAGCAGGGCCTGTGTACACGAGTGCTGAGGGCGACCCAGGTGATTGATGGGATACAGGTGGGTCTTGTCTTGACCAATTCCTTGCCCTCTGGCTGGCTTTGGGCCCTGCTGTGTCCATCAGTGGGTCTCCAACTTCAGCATGTATCAGAAATGCAGGGAGAGCTTGTTAAAACCGATTGCTTTCTCTACCCCGAGTGGCTGATTCAGTAAGTTTGGGGTCAGGGTCCCAGAATTTGCATTTCTTTTCCTTTTAAATTTTTTTTAGAGACAGAGTCTTGCTCTGTTGCCTAAGCTGGAGTGCAGTGGTACAATCATAGCTCACGACAGCCTCGAACTCCTGGGTTCAAGTGATCCTCCTGCCTCAGCCTCCTAAGTTGCTGGGACTATAGGCACATGCCACCATGCCCAGCTAAGTTTTGTTTATTTTTGTAGAGATGAGGTCTCACTTTGTTGGCCAGGCTGGTCTCGAACTCCCTCCCGCCTCGGCCTTCCAGATTGCTGGGATTACAGGCTTGAGCCACCACACCCAGTCAGAATTTGCAATTCTAGCAATTCTCAGGTGATGCTTCCTCTGGTGGTCTGAGGACCACTCTTTGAGAACCACAGCTGTTAATGAACCAGCTGTAACTCGAGACTAGAGCTTGGCCAGCTGTATGCCTAAGTGTGCGTCATTCTGTCTCATGGATTTTCATATGGCTTCTGGCCAGTTTCTTGTTGCTGAACTCTCTTTATTCTGCAGTGGTGGGAGCCCTCCTGGGCCCAGGAGCTCAGCCCCTGTCCTTCCACTCCTCCATCTACCCCTCACTTCCTTCACTCACACATTTGCTCCTGAAGTATTTATGCTGCCCAGGCTAGGTGGAGTGTGAGGGCTGCCATGGCGTGGGCCCACCCTTCTGACCCACTCTCTTCCTCTCCTCAGGCTTTTTGTTCTGGGCATCGGCTTCTTCACTCTCTGCTTCCTGATGACGTCTCTGGGAGGCCAGTTCTCAGCCCGGCGCCTGGGAGACTCGCCCTTCACCATCCGCACAGAAGGTATCTTGGTGGGGCGAGGGGAGTCAGAGATGAGGGTGTTGACTGGTCAAGGAGATGCCTTTGAGCCAACCCCTGGAGGGGGCCTTCTGACCACCCCCCACGTGAATGTGTGAATGGAGGGGGGGTCTGGACTAGGGCTGTGTGACTTGCATGCTGCTTTGGTGCTGGTCTTGGCTATGATCACCTGGCCTCGATTCTCAGACTGGGCAAGGGCCTTTGAGCCAGCATCTCCCAGCCCTCAAAAAAAGGCTGCTTGTGTTGCTCCTTTAGTTGAGTGTTTGGGGCAGGGTGTCACTTGTCTGGGACACACCCATACTTGTCTTTGACCCAGGCTCTGGCCACAGTGAGGGACAGACCTGACTGTGGCTCATATGTCTCATCTCTGAGCTCTCGGGACACAGCTCTTTCTCACCCCCTCACTGCTCCTTGCCCACATGACACTCTCAAGGCAGTGGACTGGAGATTTAGAGCACGGGCTTTGGGGACCAGGTAGTCTGAGTTTGCACCTGGTCATCACTTACCAGCTGTGTGCCATTGGCCAATCATCTCACTCCTCTACAGAGAAGGAAAGCAATGACCTTCTTCAGAGGTTGGATTGAATGGACTCACGCGTGGGTTACCTAGCACGGCTGGTGCCACATGGCATGGGTGTGACCGACTGCGAACCCTCCTCCCGAAGCTGGGCTCTGCTCCCCTCATCCCACTCAAGAAGGGGTGGAGAACAGAACAGAGTCCTGCCCAGTGTGTCACAAGGGTTCTTTTGGTCACTGATGAGAAAGAGGAGCATGGGGTGGTGGGGAAACTGAGGTAAGCGGGGTTTCCGGATCTGTTCCAGGCTGGCTCTGTGAAATTTCCTCTGTTCCTTTGTGGAAGTCTCTCTTTGAAGTCCACCCTCCTTAGCTCGTAGGGCTCAGCTGTTCACGGCGATGAATATCATAGACATCCCTAGTCAAACCGGTTGTCATCTGGGGTAGGTGCTCTGAGGGGCTCTTATTATGCTATCTGGCATCGCATCGTTGGATTCAGTCCTTTGGTTTAACATGCAATTCTTGAAACTTGCAAAAGCTCTTAGAAGGAATCTCACACTTATTAGTCATTCAAGCCTGAGCGTGAGTTCATTTATCCTGTCTCTGACTCGCAGAGATTCCTCAGTCTCTCTGAGTCTCTGATTTTCCTCTGGTAAATAGGGATAATAATACCTTCTTCCCCGGGCTTGTCCTGAGGATGTGTAGAGATAAAACACAGGAAGGGTCCAGAGCAGCAGCCAGTGAATGGTAAGAACTGCATCAATACTTAATGGATGTGTGGAGTCGAAGTTGGAGGGAGGGATGTTTATGGGGAAGGACCAAGGAGGTGCTGGGATGTCTACACAGGAGACACTGAGTAGTGAGCCTGGAAGTGAGGGGAGTCGTGATGGTGCCCTGGATAGGCGCCTTGAGGGTGGCCTGGTCGGGGAAGTTATATGTCAGGAGCTGTGGTGAGACAGAGATGCTTAAGCCAGCTGCCACTCCCAAAAGGGGCGTGTGCCTGTCTGTGTGTGCTGCCACAAAGGGCTTGAGGGAGCCGGACCTCCAGAAAGGTCAAGGTTCTAGGAGATGGGAATTAGTGGCTAGGGTAGGAGGGTTTATGACTGGATTCTGCTTCTTCTACTCATCCCCCTGAGGGGGTTGGACCCAGTGGCCCAGAGTACAAGGGACTGTGGGAGCCTGGCTGTGCTCTGCCCTGTGCAGTTCTGTCTGGGAGTGGGTTAGGGGCTCAGCCCTGACCCAGATCTGTGTCTTGGAGGTGGGCAGAACCAGAGAGGGGAGAGGACTTACCAAGGTCATGCAGTTAGACCACAGGGGTGTGCGTGCGTGTGTGTGTGTATGTGTGTGTGTGTGTGTGCACTTAATTTTTTTATTGAAGCATAATATACACAAGAGAACAATCCATGCAACCAGCAACCTAGGTCAGGATGTAGGACATGATTCCCCTGTCCCCGAGGTGTTTTGTGCCTCCTCCCAGTCACTGTTCCCCACGGACAATCATGACCCTGGCTTCTGATAGCATAGAAGAGCTTTGCCCATTTTTTGGACTTCATGGGAGTAGAGCCATGTGGTGTTCTTTTGTGTGTGGCTTCTTTCTCTCAATAGCACGTTTTGAGGTTTTTGTGTCTTGATGTGTGTGATTGGGGTCATTTGTTTCCATTACCGTGTAACCTTCCATTGTGCAAATATACCACCATATTTTATCCATCCCATGCTGGTGGACATTTGATTGTTTCCAGTTTGGGGTTTTTGTGAATACTGCTGCTATGAAGATTCTATTGCATGTCTTTTTGTAAATGTATGTTAGTATTTCTTTTTCTTTTATTTGTCTTTTTGAGTTGCAGTCCCACTCTCTCACCCCAGCTGCAGTGCAGCGGCATGCTCATGGCCACCCCAGCGTCGACCTGCTGGGCTCCGGCAATCCTTCCACCTTGGTCTTCCAAGTAGCCGGAACTACAGGTGTGCGCTACCACACTTGGCTAATTTTTTTATTTTATTGTAGAGACAAGGTCTCGCCAAGTTGCCTGGGCTGCTCTCGAGCCCATGGACTCAGGCAATCCACTCGCTTCGGCCTCCCAAAGTGCTGGAATTACAGGCTGAGCCACCATCCCGGCCCTTTTTCATTTTTAATTTCCTTTTTTTTTTTTAGTCAGCGTCTCAATCTGTTACTCAAGCTGGAGTGTAGAGACATGATCACAGCTATTGTAGCCTCGACCTGCTGTACTTAGGTGATCCTTCTGCCTCAACCTTCCAAGTAGCTGGTACTATGGGTGTGTGCCAATACAACTGGCTAATTTTTTGATTGATTGTAGAGACGAGGTCTTCCCGTGTTGCCCAGGCTGGTCTCGAACTCCTGGGCTCAGGCAATCCTCTGATCTTGGCCTCCCAAAGTGCTGTAATTATAGGCATGAGCCACCACGCTTGGCCCCCCCTTTTTTTTTGAGATGGGAACTTGCTATGTAGCCCAGGCTGGTCTCAAGCTCCTCACTTGAGCCTCAGCCTCCTGTGTAGCTGGGACTACAGGTATGTGTCACCACACCCAGCTTTCTTGAAGCCATTTCTGTTGGGTAGACCCTAGGAGTGGAGTTTCTGTGTTGTAACATTTATTCTCAGACCAAGCTTATCCAGGTCAAAGTCTCTTCACATTTCCCAGCCCCTGGGCCAGAAACCGAGTACCTGGAATACGGAACTAAAGTCCGGGAGAAGAAGGCAATGGATAAGGAGAGAGGCCCCTGAGAACCCAGGAGAACTGATCATGACTCAGTTTATATCCCAATTCTCATTGTCCCCTGTGATTTCTTCCATGCCCTCAGACAGACCCAGGGCAGGGACTCGGGCCTGGAAAGCAGTTTGAGCTGGGGTTTAAAATCTGATCCTTCGAGAGAAGGATCCTCAAACTCTATCCCCACACTGTGCCTGGGGCAGCCCTGCAGAAAACCCAGGAGAAGCCAACATTTCCACCTGGCAGGCGCCAGGGGAGGATTGAGGCTGCCGCTGGGAGGGGTGCTTGGGAAGTTGCTGGGCTGAGTCAGACCTGGGAAGGGATACTGAAAGTCAGGGGCTGGGGTTGGCTTGTAGGATAATACCCATTCTGTTATCCAGCAGAATTCTGTGGGTCTAAACAACCCAGGACAGAATCAGGAGAAGGAAACCCACTAAGGCCCTGCCATTTAGGGGGAGCGGGGGAAACCTTGTATTGGTCAACAAAACAAACTGAGCACAAATGGGAAAAACAAGCTCTCTTTGCCTGTCAAACTGGTGATGGAAGTGGGGTCCCACATGGACTGCTGCTGGAAAGGAGCAGGGAGGAGAAGGGTTTTCTCTGGAAGGAGAGTCTGACATGGCCTCTTGAGGACTGTGGTCTCCTTGCTGAGGCTCCGAGTTCCGGTTTATACTTCATGATAAAGTCCGCTAGTTTGGGGATAAAAATGTGACAGACATCTCATTCTATATTCTGCATGCTCCTCTTAAAGATTCAGGAGAGGAGGCTGGATGGGGAATCGTAGCTTGGGGAGGTCTGACTGCATTCTCTCTTGCTGCAGTTGGGCCTGGCAAGCCCCCTCCCAGGCAGCTCTGCCATCTTCCCACCCCAGGCCCTCTGCCCACCTCCTGCCTCGGCCGCCAGTCTCTCCTCCTATGGAGGGACTTTCTCCCCCTTCCCCCCCATGAAGTGACATCGGACGCCTTCCTCCCTATGGAGCCGCAGGTTCACTGTTGAATGTGGGGCTGTTCCCTGCCCTCTGCCTTGTCCTGAAGAAGCAGTGGTAGGATGCCGTCTCCGGGGAGGGGTCTCCAGGCTGGAGGTCCGGGGTGCAGATGCATGTGTCTGCCGAGCTCTGCCAGATCTCCCAATCGATTCCCCAGGAATCGAACCTGGGGAGTGCATCCTGGCTCCGGGGATGACTCTGGCCCTGGACCTGGGTGCTAAGGAACTTGGGCTCTTCTCTTGGTGGCGATGGATGGGGACCCAAGGCCCAGAGGGCTGAGAAAGAGCCTCCTGCCGCCTCCCAGGGCCTGTCCTTGTTTCCTCTGCTGCCCAGAGCCCAGAGCTCCCGTGGCCCCAGCTGGCTTCTGCAGTGGCCGAACACAGAGACACAAATGCGTCCCTTTCTCCAGCTGCGCAGGCACTGAGTACACTCCCTTCCCAGGGCTAGGAAGGGCTCAGCTGTCTGCGAGGTGGGGGCTCATTCACTTTCCCTCGGCAAAGGGTGGGGATAAGGACAAGGAAGGGGGTATGGGGGAGGGTGGGAGGAACAGAGAGAAACAGAGAGCATCTGGGGAGGGGACAGGGCCTCATGGGTAACAAAACCCCCGTCTGTAAATGAGAAGATCCATTTGTGTCTCGGCGTCCCAGCTTTCCTTATTTATATGGAAATATGGAGGGAACGTGTGTTAGTTCTGAGATATATCGCTGGGGCCTCACATTAAATACATTTCAATTTAGCCGACGCCAATTGCAAAGTGACTCTGGGG